AGTTATCACGTTTATTCAAGTTCCTTCTTCACATCCGTTACTGATAGTTTCACTGCCAAATTCTCTGAGAAACAGTTTTTTCAAAAAATCTTGTGAAAGCATTAGTAAAAATTTCTATGGTGGTTTTGTAAGTCATATTATTTATTTGAAAACATTCGATTCACTTGGAAATGGCGTCCTCCAAAAGTAACTGTGAAATATTGGACCAAAAAAATCTGCGTGCAACCTTGTCAACACTTCTTTGGGCCAATCCCAAGGTTTCAGCGATATTCTCGGTGGATTATCAGAAAACTTTGCACAAATTTCATTCCTGGCCACTTCTTCAATGTTTGAGTCCATTGACGGCCACCATACATATATGACTTCGCTAGTGATTTCTTTTTTACTATACCTACGTGACCCGAGAGAATTTCTGATAAAACATTTGAAGCGAATTTTTTTTAATTACTATACGGTAGCCCTAGATTACACTTCAAATATTATAGCCAGTCCCTTCTTTTCTATTTGTGAATATTGTTACGTTTTTACCCGTGGGTTTACCAATAATTGACTACACTGAACAAGAATCAAACTCAAATTTATTCCACCATCAATATAACAAAACGCTTTAACTGAAACTTCAACTATTATTCAATGAGTCGATGAGTTCCTTCGCGGGTTGTTGTGTGCGCTGTAGAGGCACTTCTTCCTCGATTCTGTCAATTTTTACGATCAGTTCACAGGTGCCTATTACTTGCCCTTTCTTCCAGTATAACCACCTTGGCGCTGTTATGAAGCTGAGAGGGCACGTCGAGTAGAATTTTCTCATTTCCAACACTTAATAGTTTGCCCACCACGAATACGTAGAGGGATATGATATCTAATCACAAAATGAATTCGTCGACAATGTTGGGCACTAATATCTTGATTTCTATTTCGAAATTTCCAAGCCTTTAGCTTCTCTATAGACTGTCAATCTATCTCCAGTGGATGTTTCCAGAACAGGTATTACTGATAACTTCTTCAAACTGCTTCTGTTGGAAATGTCGGATCTCATTGCCCATCTCGTTGCTCCAGTATCGATGGTGAAAAGGCATCGATGATTATTTAAAAATCCGTCGTTAACTAAGCTGTTACTGTTGCGTCCTATCGTGGAAATCGAATACCTGGGACTTGGGATGTAGCAGCCAATGTACCCCTTTCAATGCTCTATCAATGCTGTACTCAAGCCGCCAGGTCCAGCAACTTCCGCTTGAATAATTTTCTCGGTGTTAGGAGAGATTCTGGAATATTCCAGTATAACCACCTTGGCGCTGTCATAAGGCGGAGAGGGCTCGTCGAGCAAAATTTCCTCATTTCCAACTTTCAGCAGTTTCTTCCTTATGTCCACCACGAATCCGTAGGGGGACCTGATGTCTAGTCCCAGAATGAACACGTCGACTATGTTGGCCACTAATACCTTAGTTTCTATTTCGCAATTTCAAAGCCTCAGTCTCACTTCAGCTTCTCTATAAACTGTCAATCTATCTTCAGTGGCTGTTTCCAGAACAGATACTACTGATAATTTCTTTAAACTGCTTCTGTTGCATATGTCGGCTCTCATCACTGACCTCGTTGCTCAAGTGTCGATGGTGAAACGGCACTGATGATTATTCAGGAATCCGTCGACAAGTAAGCCGTGACTGTTGCGTCCCATGGAAATCGAATACCTGGCGGCTTGTGATGCTGCAGCCAATATACCTCTCTTAACACAGGCTGAATTTGGTTTTTCCAAACCACGACGCTCCAGTTCGGGTAATCTCGAACGCCAGTATCTTCTTCCGTCGGATGTTGAACGTAATAGACAATCCCGCCTAAAATATCCTTATCTGCCGCATTCATAGCATTTAGGCCGCCCTTTTGACTTGGGTGCAGTTCCAGACTTTGAAAGTTCCTCCAGATCAAACATGAGTCGATCTGTTCCTTCGTTTTCCTTTTCGTTGATGGCCCTCAGTAGAACTTTACGTAGTTGTCTGTAGCATTTTTGGCAGCTTCGAACTCTAAGACATAAATGATGGATCCATTCAATTTTTTATGACATGTCATCCTCAGCGACTGCTGCATCTCCGTATCATGAACCCCGTCGATAAAACTATGATCACTAATCCAGTGGGTGAAATTATCAGGTGATTCTGGGTGAGTCTCACCAACGACTTTAACCTTAAACTTTTGTAAACTTTCTGATGAACCTTGAGTTCTCACCTTCAATTGAGCTTTGTGGACTTGTTGAAGGTGCTCACTACCATATCTGACCTCCAAAGCTGATATAACTGCTTTCCTATTCTTCCTTTTCACTGGAATATTTCGCAGGATTTCGGAGGCCTTTCCTCGTAGTGCCAGAGAGCTATTGCTTTCTCCTCATTTCTCCACCCATTATTTTTCGCAGTGGCCTCAAATTGTCTGTGATAAATTTACCATAAAAATTCGCCATCGAAAGAGTTTTAATAATACCACTGCTTGAAGGAAGAGATGACACTCCCGATTTGAATTTTTCCACAGTAATCCTTTTCCTGTCCGGTGATTCTTTCCGAGGTTCCCGGAAAACCTCTTCGAATTTTTTGTCGGCACCTTCAAACTCCTCTTCGAATTTCCTTTCAACCCTCGAGGGTTGATAAGAAGCTTGAGATCCCAGCTTCTTATTGACTCATTTTTCCAATCCCTTCTTTGTTTCCTGGAATAGTTTGTCAAATCCTTCCTGAATATATTCCCTTTACTCACTTCGGAAGATTTTAAATCTTCCAATGAATTGAGGTACATCTGACTGTCTTTTTTCTGCTTTTCCTGTTTTTCCTGAATACCTAGTAGTAATTCACGATCTTCATTTTGGCGTAACTTTCTCTCACCTTCATTCTTCTTCTTCGTCTCTTCTCCGATTTTCATTCTTCGCCAGGCCCGCTTACAAAGCCTCGAACATATTCTCAGGCTTTTTCATCTCGTCGTAGTCGGCACTCCTTGTTTTCACCGTGAAACCGAAAATTCTCAGTCAATTATTTCACTTCCGACACCAAATGTTACGTTTTTATCCGTCGGTTTACCAATAATTGACTACTCTGAACAATAATCAAACTCAACTTTATCCCACCATTAATATATCAAAACACTTGAACTAAAACTTCAACTATCATTCAAACGTCTATCGCATTATAAAATCGCTTTGCACCGCACTAACCGCGAAAGTTGACTATTTCAATATGCTCGTCTAGTCTGGCCTATAAGTTTAGATTCGTGTTAAATGGACATACTTTTAGTACAATTAAGTGGTTAGGCTCATTCGATCCGGAATATTGTCTAGATCATTGTGAAAAAAAAAGTAAATTAGTTCATGAAAAATTCTGAAAGTTATAAACAATTGAAGGCCCCAAAAAGCAGTGTTCGGTTTTGTTGTTTATAGTTCGTAAACTATAAATATTTTTGAATATTGAAAACAATATCCTTGAAGAGGAAGAAATTTACTTAAAACAATTTTTCTATTCACTTTAAGTACCTTAAAAAAATATTTTCAAGTTACGTACTCCCTTAGAGGCCGTGCGCGCAACCTAAAAATGACGCGCGGACGGCGATTTTCAGCGTTAAATTAAAATTATAAATAATGGAGATACCGTTTCGTTAGTTGGAACTTTTTTTAGTAATTTTCCTTCTCTTTAAGAATCCTTTTTTCAAAATTCAAAAATATTTATAGTTTACGAACTATAAACAACAAAACCGAACACTGCTTTTCAGGGTCTTCAATTGTTTATAACTTTTAGAATTTTTATGAACTAATTTACTTTTTCTTCACAATGATTTAGACAATATTCCGGATCGAATGAGCCTTACCACTTAATTTTACTAAGAGTATGTCCATTTAACACGAATCTAAACTGTAGCCCAGACTAGTAAGTAGTGTTTATATGCGGCAAACGAACTATCCCGAAATCGGTGGAGAATTCCTCAGAAATCCATCCGGTAGAAAATTCGAAGGAATTCCATCGAAATAAAGCAAACATCAAATAAGGGCGAGACGTCGGCAGGGCTGCCTTGGCCACGTCATAGTTTTTCACGACGGCCAGCGGCGGCCGCGTTATCTTTTTTTTTAGAAGATGATCCACAACAAGCTTTTATTTCGGCTGATGTCAACATCCGAGATGCAAATGCAATAGATCGTTCAACATTGTCGTTATAAATATGACCGATCATTGCACCAATTGCAATTGCGTTAATTTCGAAGGTCTATTCGGATCATAGTGGTCTAAAACCGTATTTGACAATAATATTTTTGGCACTCTGTGGTGCATTTCCATTCAACTCAACTCGTAAAGCTCTTTATCATATTTGCCCGTGATAAGAAGATCATCTAAAAAACACTACGACGGGAATTGTGAAATAACTATCTATTAAATTTTGGAAAATAAACGGAACACAATGTAAACACCATACGGTAAACGTATGAAAGAAAATTACCCCTCGTGAATGGATATTGTAACCAACTTTTAACTATCCTCTGACAATAACTTTGCTGGTAGGCTTCAGATAGATCTATTTTTGAAAAATTTCCGCCATTTTGTAATTGATTAAACAAATACTTATTTAGCGGAAGACGGTATCTTTATTGTACCTCCAATTGAGGATTGAGGGTTATTTTAAAATCGCCACAGAGTCAAACTCATTTTGTTTCAATATCGAAAGGATGGGTATTGCCCATTCGGAAAATTCAACAGGCATTAAAATTTTATTATCAACTAATATCTTTAGTTAATTCTCTATTTTAGGTTTCAAGCTGAACGGAACAGGGCACACCTTATAAAATTTTGGAAGACCGCTGGTTTCAATTACGAAGAAACTTCAAATTTGTTAAAAGTGAGTTTATGGACTACAACCAACATACACAAAATCAAATATTTTTCTTCATAATGTCACTTTGAATAGATGAAGTGAGACAAAAGACAAAAAATTGTGAAATGAGTCTTATTTCATATTTAAAGATGATGAAAGTGTACAAATACCTGGGTAATGTCTCATTATGCCGGTCGTACTTCCAAAGTACTGCCATGAAAGGGCAGGATCTAATTTGTAGTTTTCCTTGAAAATATCATCTAGCGACTGGGACCATTGGATAGCAAAAGAAACATTGTCATCTGAAAAGAGGAGGTAGTTTCAAATAGCAAACTATCAGAAATGAAAAATGAAATATTGATACAACTCATTTCTATTTGTGGATTATTTCACATAAAAACATATTCGAAGTATAATTTATAGGGTGTGTTGGTTATAGGAAATTCAAAACAAGCGACATTTCTCCTGGTGTCGATGAGGTGAACTAGAAACAAGTACATTGTTCATCTTGGTAGTAATTATCAAGTATGTACCTATTTTTGTCGCTGTTATAATATTGATTCTTGAAGTGAATTGATGACGATTGCCTATCACTTCGATTCAAACAAATATAAGCGATTCAGAATCAAGTTGAAACTATCAGTACTATACGTCCGTCAATGTGATTTGAAGCTAATAGGATCTCGATGCAGCAACATCAATTTCTATTATTTTCCGCGAAAAAATAAACTCAAAGATATAGTGGATATCAGTCTGAACAAATCGGCAATACTATATCTTGTCTCGCCTAAAACTCAATCAATTATTTCCAATTTTGGTATTAAACGACTAAATTCAGAAATCCTAGGCGAAAAAAGAAAATAGTGATAGAATTCAACTCAAAACATAGAAACTCAAGGGTCAATTGAGTATTTGCGTGAACTACATAAACACAAATCAGTTCTCTAACATCTTAAAATATTTGTCGAGAAAAAATCTAATAAAAATATCAATACTATTTCGAAACAGATGCTCAAAACACACTGGTTTGCACGTTATCTTTTTTTCAGTCAGATGTTTGGGCCGTAGGCCCCTGATCCCTTCATCAAATTGGGGTTTATATCTGTTTGGGTTTTTGTGTTTCAGCGACAGAGACGGATCTCTATCGTCCTCTTGCGGCTTGTGGCCCTGTTTGTAAAAGTCGCAGCGTTCTTCTACTTTTTCTTTTTTGTCGTTTAGACATAGGTTTCTTTTTAATTATTTTCGGCGGGCATGGTCTGCAAGACCTAAAATTTCGTGAGAATTTCCTGCAGCTGCCCTAGGGCCGTTGGGAGACCCTCAGGAGAGTTGTAGGAATTCTCCGTTGTGGATACGGCTCTCGCGTATGAAACTCCGTTCCTGACTGTATTCTGCCTGACTGTCCTCGGATTTGGGGGCTGCCGTCTGTCTTTTGACCCATCTGAGGCCTTTTTCTTGTTCTCGGGGCGTTCTGGGCACCCGTGGAAACTGGCTGGGTGCTCGCCCTTGCAGTTGAAGCACCGCATGGGCGAGTTTTTCGGTCTTTTACATTCACTTGTTACGTGTCGTCCGGCACACTCTACACAGGCTGGGACTGCTTTACAGTTCCGGTGTGTGTGCCCGAACTTCTGACACCTGTAACATTGTCCTACTCTATTCGTGGGACGCTGTGTTTCAGCGCTTACGCGGACATTTTGGATCTCTTTCACATCATAGATGTTAGCTTGGTTTCTGGGAACCAAGACTAACACGAATGGAATTGGCTTTTTTTGTTTGTTTTGCACATACGAGCGATGGAAATGATTTCAAATCCTTTCCCTTGTAACTCTGTCTTAATGTAATCTGTTTCCAGGGATTCTGGAACTCCCCGGAAAACAACTGTCAATGGTTTTTCGGCTTGTACCGAGTAAGTGTGGTATGGGATTTTTTCATGATCTAGGATTTTCGTTATTCTCCTGTATTCATCTATGGATTTCTATAGAATACACCGGTTTGCAGACATAATTCAACGTATAACCTAGATCCAATGTAGACATCTATTTTGCACTTTCGCCACTATGGCGCTAGTATTTAATTTTAAATCACCAATGAATGAACTTGTTAAATAAACTGAGTTACAATAATGAAGTACAGAAGATAATTAGTGGAAGAAATGAACTATTACCTACTACAAATATTTTACAAGGTGCAAGTCACATTAGATGAGTTCTTTAATTCACCGATGATCATATTGGTTAATTCGAAAAGTTAGCGCGTTTCTATCATATTTCATTTCGTTAAATTTAAGAACTCGCCTTTTCTTATCATTATAAATACTACTACTTTATTTCTAGGTTAGGTTACTCTTCAACTTATGGAACTAGTTATAATAATAATCCCAACATACATCTTCGATATGTATTGATTGTGTTGAAATTGGCTGATACTCGATGAAAATTCACAAAGTATTCAAGTAACACTTAATTGTGAGTGTAAACTATCACGTGTTAGGAAACACACATTAAAAGGTAAGACCTCTTTTAGTCCTTAGCTCGCATAAGTTTCGACTTCTGGAGTTGCCGTTCATAGGGGTGCGATAGCTGGTTAACGGAAAAATATATTTTAAACATATTTTTTTATATATTTTTAAACTATATTGCTAGGTTAGGTTACTCTTTATCTAGGATACAAGGAACTAGCTATAATAATAATCCCAGAATACCTTTTCAATATGTGTTGGAGTTGGCCGATACTTAATGAAAATCCATTACGTATTTGAGTAACACTTAATTGTGAGATTTTCACTGGACAGTTCACGTAACCGCAACACGTGCTTCGCTGTACAATAGTTTCCTCAATCTTTTTCATGCACGAAACAGTTTTTTAAATTGTCCAGTGAAAATCTCACACTGAATTGGTACTTGATTCGAGGTCTAACATAAAAGTCGCGTTAAAGTACGAAACACACTTGAAATAAAAGAATTGCATAACCAATATTGTGACATCGATATAATTAGGTATTTTTATTAGTGTATACTCTCTCATCGGCAGAGGTGCTAAACATTTTTATTAAATGTTATAAAGGACGTCGTTGAACGGGACACTGCGATGTGAAATATTATTATTTTTGGAATACAGTTTTGAATGTACCTTCATGCGTTTCATTTCTTTGGATTCTCTTCCAAACGATGTCATTGTTTAACTTTAACTTGCACTGGCGATCCGTAACTCTTTTGAGCTGATTTAGTCGATAAGGCACTTGTTACAGCTTCTTTTAATGTTACAGTTTCCGTTTTGGTAAACAAATTCTTTTAGATTTGAACCCACATATAATTTCATTCCAAAGAGCATTGTCTAAATTTGTCTCAAATTCAAAATGTGTAGCAAGCCTTCGAAAAATATTTTTGAATACTTTCTGGCAGCATAAATAGCATACCTACCTTTCTGCAAAAACTGCCCGATGTGGTTGATGTTTCGTTAAGAACTCAACCAGTAGGTACCTACTTCAGAAAGTGTATCTTCCGGTTTGTCGGGAACACATGAATCTTCAACTTGAGCAAATGCAATCTGGTTTATGCTATTCATATCATCACTCGCTGCTTACATTCATCTGTCACACCATTGACCTTGAAAAGAGATTTTAATTTCCGGACATGAACTCCGAAATCATGAATGTCATCATTGAACTCCGCTTTTATACCAAACCTACCAGAGGATGTCATTTCATTTTTATTAATGCTTTTTCGATTTCATTTGTTATATACTAATTAATATGCTCATCTAGAGGAGTTCTGCATTAGGAAGAAAGGAGTGTGATATCGATATAATTAGGTATTTTTATCAGTGTATACTCTCTCATCGGCACATGTGCTGAATAGGTTTTCTTTCCGATAATGTTATTTACGATATCGTTGGAGGGGACACTGCGATGTGGAATATTATTGATTTTGGAATACAGTCTTCAATGAACCTTCATGCGTTTCATATCGAAATATTACAAACATCTTACTTATTTGCTTCAAAAATCTTTTTTAGCTAGGGCCTTCGTTGAAATGTCAGCTAAATTTTCATTTGTTGAAGCTTATTCAATTGATTTTTCCCTTTATTTACAAGTATTTTATATGCTTCATCATTTTTGATTATTATTTGTGACTGCATATGGAGAACGCTGCCCTGTGATTTGTCGAATTAATTGTCCGTTGATAATAATGATTCTGTAACAAATAAATGAATTAACTGTCTTTAACAAATTTATTTCCAATAATATTTCACTAATCACAAACTAATTTATTTACAACACTTAATTTATTTCCACTATTTGCATATCGGTCAGGGGCAGCTTCAGATTCGTTACACTTCTTTGTGAAAAATGAANTATATATGAGGAAGCGACACTGCCCGCATCATTCAGAAAGATGAATAGGCCTCTACAGATTTTCATACTTATGAAGCTCAAATTATACCTTTCCTCACATAATGAAAAACGGCCATCCGTTTGATTGGAGATCCAAATACACAAGCAACATTGTTAGTGTACAATATCAAAAGGAGATTGAGGGGGTCTTTTAGGGGTATATATTTCGAGTTTTTATTTCATTAACTAATTTTCATGGCTTCAAACAAATTCATTTTCATCCTTTTTTACATATGTGTAGGATTATGAGGTTATCGTCACTTATCTTGTGTTTTGATTCTTATAGATGTTCATACATTGTAGATTTCTTGTCCAAACAGACACATAATTCATCACTTATGAAAGCTGTTGTTATTTTGTTTTCAGAGAAGTAATTTTGAATATTTTTGAAAGTTTACCTGTGTATATTATGCTACTATATTTACATGTATTGTGTTATCTACTGTTTGAGTATAATTTACTCATAAGTGTTTTATGAGTTTTATCTGATATTATCTTTTCTATTAGAGAAACTGGTACCTCAGGGTTTTCTGCAATTCGTTTAATTATTTTCAGTTCATCCTGGAAATTATTTTTGGTAAAGAGATTGCGAAAGCTCTGTGTATTATTGACGTAAACGCCGATAATTTATGTGAGAGCGGACTGAAATGGTCAAAGGGAATTGTACAGTATCTATGAATGTACTTTTCCGGTAGATATTGAATTGAAAACCATTACTGACTCTTGAAATATTCAACTCTAAGAAGTTAATGTGACTTTGGTTCTTTCAAATTCAGTCTGAATGAATTGTTTTTTATAGTTGGAGATCCCAAAACATCTTCGTTTGCATCATAAACTTGAGCTCCCTTTCAATCAGACATGAATGAATTCATGTAATTTTTCATAATTTGGCAGACAGATTCACTCTCAAAT